CCAATCATCCGATCTAGAACCTCCCCCAATACACGAGACATTACCGCTGAATAAACTGAGAAATGATAGTATTACGTTGCCTTCTTTTGGGCAGTAGTCCCCTATGTGTAGTTATTGAAGAAGCACATAATGGAAATTTATAGGGAGTGGATGTATAACTCCTCGCACCCTTAAGGTCGGCACTAGATGAAGGTGAATTCTTAGCTTCATGTCGCGGCGGCTTTGGAAATATACTGCGGGAGGAGTAGGGGCGAACATTGTGTGGATTTCAGAACCCATCTTGACGCAGTGGGAAACGAGACTTATTATCCACACCGGAAATGAATATACGTCGGCGTTAATGTTTCCCGATCACTATATTGACTGAGCTAATTGGGATACTGGGTCGAATGTGCGGTCATCCAGTATCGCACAGTTCGCCGCCAAAGATGATATTCTAACTCATCCAGTGGAGTCTGAAGGAGAGATTTCGAGAGAATGCTGATGACGTATTGGGTTTCAAAAACTAAGGGAAATATTGAATGAATATCAGATTTAAAGGCAGAGTCCAGATCATGCTAATACCCCTGAATTCACCAAGACCGTTTGCAAAGACAATAAATATCCAAGACGGAATAACCGATGGTCCAAATAGACGTTCGAATCGGATCTTTATTTTTTCAAAGTTGTACGCTGAAGATGTTTCATAATTAAAGGCGATGTGTTGATACTTTACGTTAGTTTGAGGGAATAATGTGGCAATACAAAGACGGGATATTGTATTCTGTGTAGCACTGGGGTACGGCTGTACGGCCAGAGTTCGATTCCCGCCAGAGTCAAGGGGTTTTTCTCTATCCTAGCGCCCATACTGGCGTTGGTGCACACATCGGACATTTTGTAACCGGGAAAGAGCCGCTGGTACCCACTGGACAGGAAGCTGAGTGGACATCACAGCCTTTCTGGAATCAGTGCGAAGGAGAAAACTAAGCTCTCGCCGGGAACTGAGCCCACATTCTCCACTCGCCTGAACCGCAGAACGGTTAGCTATATTTACTGAACTGCCTGGTTCAGATATATTACAGGATTTATAAATAATATACATGAGATATTAATCGGCCCGCCTCCGTCCGTCTCTCTGTATGCAGATCCCATTCTGTTCCCCCTCGACCTTTTGTCACAGAAGAAAATTGTAAAATAAAAAGAAGTCCCTTTTAGAGAGACAACTCTGGGAAAACTATTGTTTCTTTTTGTTACTTGTATAAGTTCGAATATTGACCAATGAGCATTTCAGTTTTCCTCTATAAACAAAACCGAATCTTCCCGATGAGGTCATCGGATATTTTTTAAACTGACCAAATCCTTCTGGCCGCATTATGACCCTGGGGTCGACTTAACCTCTAACAGAAATGAGTACCAGGAATCTTAGTGGGAGTAAAGGGCAGCCGCGCGTAAGGCTGACAACCTCACCGCAATCAGTGAGCAGACTGGCTAGAAAATGTGGGAACCTCAACGTCTCACAACTCTATGGGCATCCACGGCCTGTTACAGGGATAAATTATATTTTACTTTTTTTTTTTAATATTAACGGTAGTGCGTGTATTATGTTAATAGTACATTTTCATAATGACCATAACTCAGTCGGTATAGCGACGGGCTAAGAGAAAGTCTCAACAGTACAACCGTTAAGTGGATCCGTTATAACTAGGAGTGTTTAACTGTGTTCATTTAGTGACTAAATTAAAAACGTAAGTGTAAAACTTACATCTCGAAGTTTTGTTGAACCTTTAGGGCGACCGCACACCAGCTGCGCCAAGACAAGCATCAAGACACGAGACAAAAGACGCAGTCTTGCTTCATTCGCGATTCAGTCTCGAGTCCGTACACCGAAGTAACACGTGTCTGCTTCTTATCTTCTCTAATTGATGACATGACGTCGTCCAGCGAGGAAGATATTTTAATGTACATGGGGCTTAAATTACTTAAAAGAAGGAAAAGGAAGTGGATTCATGACTTTCTTTAATGAGCCGTGCGCTCAACATGGTGCATACGTTTTAGCGCGCGACTTGTTAAACGGTCCGGTGAGATTCCAGTCTTATTATCGGATGTCCTCAGAATCCTATAAGGAACGGGGACGAGTAATCGTATATTACCGAGAATTTCTCAACCGTCCGCACTATTTTCATATTTATTTGCTCTTCACTCATGCCGATAACATACACTGGTGCTGTTTCTTGCTTACTGATGTCTGATTCTCTGCGCACAGAAACGGAACATGCAGAGGCTTGCTGCATGTGTCTGCAGCATGAAACTGACGTCAACATAATGACTCAGACTCATTCGTTTCAACTGTGCTCCTTTCTTTGCGTCATGTCGCAGATATCGTGTTTTGACAGTTACATGTCTTGACGCATACCAGTATGCGGCCTACCTTAAGGTAGTAACATATTGTTACTACGACCTTCTCTTCCCTAGCTCAAGTAATTAAAATCAAAACGCCGGTATTTCATGTCCATCAACATTCCTTCTCATATAACGTAATTTCCCTTCTCGATTCCCGAAGCACATGGCCTTTATCCCCAAGATCCTGAATCCCTGATTCTAGTTCGGGACACTGATAACAGAGCTACCAGCAACAAATTATCAAAACCCAACTTAACCTATGACAAATATATGACACCGATCTACCCAAGACTTATATACAGGTTGATGATGTAATGTGATTCTCAATTAATGTGGGGATTTTCGTGGCTTATAATATTTAAACCGAAAATAATTTAAACATCTGCTTATATAATATGAAAATGTAACTCAAAAAGTTTTATTTGATAATGCTTTACTCATCGCAATGATATCTGGAAGAAAATATGTCAAACTCAATATCCTGTGCCCTCTGCTCTTAATTGATGTTACGCCGCTTCATTTATTCCTGTGGAGGGTAAGTTAAGAACATTGTTTACAAGACCCCTGTGACCTTCGATCAAAAGGGTTACACCGCAAATGCTGGAGAATATTTGGAGGGAAATTGAATACGGCTTGTACAACTTACGTGCCAAGAAAGGCCTGCATATTTAAATTGTTTATCAGTCCGTAGTATTTACTCTACAAGTAACATGTAATAAAATGTTTTGGCTTACATTTTCATATTCCTAAGGAATTATATTTTGTATTTTCCGATTTGAAAATCATAGGCCACAGAAACCCCGACAATAATTTAGAATCACCCTGTATGATAAATTACTATTTATTTATATTTGTTTATCCGTTTATTCTAAGTTTAATTATAGAAGTTGAATACTACTAAGACAATGTAAAGATAAAACGCCGAATTTCTTGTTTAGTACAGGTAACAAAGAGTTTTAACTGTTTTGCATTGATCTTGTAATCATGCTCATATTTGAGTCTAGCACGTCCAATTGGTATAGTCCTTTCTAACCTACAACCAAAAATTTTGCGTAAAGTCTCATATTTCTCATTTTCTTCATGCGTACCGCCATAATTTGATTATCCATATACAGAGTGATTCAGAAAGATGGACACAATTTCAATTGACTATATTTCCTGAACTGTATGTTGCATTTGAATTCTGTAAAGTACATTTGAAAGAGGATGTTACAAAGTTTCTAGAACTACCGCTAGTGCCCTCCATCACTGCATCCCGGGCCGATCGCGTGTATCGGAGGAGAACGTGGAGTGCATTCGAGTGAACTTTGAGCGCAGCCCAATGAAGTCAACCCGTAGTGCTAGTAGAGAACTTGGACTATCGCAAACAACTGTGTGGCGTGTACCACCTCTTCCCACAAATTTGAATGACCTAAGAAACTGTATCACAGCTGCGGTGAACTCAGTGACGCAAGATATTTGTCATCGAGTGTAGGATGAATTCAGCTACCGTCTAGATGTTATCCGTGCAGCCGGAGGAGGGGGGGGGGGCACATTGAACATCTATAAACTTCCATGCATGTATAATCAAGTGTAATTTACAGAATTCAAATGCAACATATAATTCAGGAAATATAGCCAATTGAAATTGTGTCCATCTTTCTGAATCACCCTGTACTATTTTCTGGCAAGTACAAATTACGAAGCATCAGAATATACGTATTTTTCTCCACTCTTCTCTACCTCTCAACTGAGTTACATTTCGAAATATCCCAACCAGCATGCTGTTATTAATAACCTCAATCCATGTTCTTCTCTTAGAACGTACGTTTTCACACATATAAGTAACAGGTAAACTTAATGTAATGTACAATTAATTTTTTCGTCAGATATTCACGATTTAAACTGTGGTTCCAGTGAGGAACATAAAGATTCTTAGTAATTGCTTCTATGGTCTAGTGGTCTCTATAACGGGTAAGAGCAAACAATTTCCTGCCTTGCAGCGGTCTGGCCTCTTGTTGAACAATAAGCCTCTGTTTATGCATTATATCTACCTTTACCTACTGACACATCGTATGAATCATATCTGCACTTGCGTCCAAAACATCGCAGTAATTACACGTAGCTGACGGGTATAATTAAAGGCAAAATTGTTTAAGCTCTCGAAAGAAAATCGTGTGGGGGACACGACAAAGAAGCCGACACAAATACTGGGGTAATGGTTTCGAATCACACTCCAGGGAAGTTCGCCTGCGTTTATTGTGTTTGTGTCGTCTGTGTAGGTAGTGTCCTTGCAACGGTCTAATCTCACATTCAAGGAGTCTTACCAAATATCTACAGGATTCAAATGTTTGATTTAACAATTTTGAAAAAGTGTAAGACAGAAAGTCTACTTCATGAAGACTAGAAGAAGGAGAAAATGAATTTTCCTCAAGTCTCGCTACTTTCGAGATAATTAAACGGAAACGAGAGAACGCACAAGAATATTTATGCCATGAGTACATTTATTATATTTCTGATATAAGCCTTGATGATGATGTAGTGATTAAATACACAGACAATGAAATAATCATTCTGTCTCCATAGAGCTCTACCATCAGTCAAATAATTCTACGAAAGTTACTGATCACGTATTCACTTACCTATGACGTTGAGACGAAAAGCAAGACTCATCTTGGGCTCCGTGTTAACCTGGCATTCATAGATACCCGAATCACGTTCTTGTGGGAATTTGATTTGTAGCGTCCAATTATCAGATTTGTCTGGTCGGATAACTTGAAATCGGGCATCACTTGTGTAAGTCAGGATTCCGGCCGTGAGAATGTGAAGATCGCGTTTGCGGATCCATGAAACCTATAAGCAAACAAGAGAAAAAATAATGAAATAAAGATGGTCCTCTGGCTATATCCATTAACATTACAAATATGTCTGTTGAAAATTTAACGTGAAAATGTTCATCTCCAGTTACGGTTTCCACAGACGGCTTCTTCCATTGATCCATATCTCCACACTCTAGATCATGATCGCCATTATGAAATCACGGTTCAAATGAATATGTATGCAGTTAACTTGAGAAGTTCTAAAGAAACGGTGTGACAATAGAGTACAGGCAAAGGCGTGCGCTATATTACCGACTGACGACTCTTCAACGGCGACTGAAACACTGACGTTCAGAGTGAAAGCTTCACAGTTATTATCCTTAGGTAAGTTTTCTACAAGTATCTCTTCGATTTTATCAACTTACGCATTACAGCACCTGAAGGGCACTCAGAAATCACGACTTCATTGAGTATGTACGCTATGAACGTAAAAATTGTAGTAAGGCAGCTTAATAGAATAAGCATAACAATAATAATTCAATCAATTCATTTATTATTTATTTATTTATATGATTATTGAAAAGCTTAAATATCAATAATTCAATCCCTATTTATTTGCATACTAACTGAACAACCGAGTGGGCAGTTACAAAGCGAGCAGGAGCGATAGGATAGAAACAAACATATAAAGTACGGAACAAAGCAGTTTAAGGCCGCGCCATAGGCCAAGCGGTTAGTCGCTGTCTTCCAACCGCGGCGGCCCGTGTTCGATCCCGGGTCTGGTCAAGTGAGGTTTGTGGTGGACAAAGTGGCGCTGGGGCAGGTTTTCTCAGAGTACTTCGGTTTCCCCTGCCAATCTTCATTCCACCAATTGCTCCACAATCACCCTCACCTATCATCTGGAGCTGGTACAATAGGCCAGAAGTGGTCGCAGTACAAGGGACTTAGTCCAACTCCACTAGCAATAAAAGAATTAGTTTATAACATATGAGTAATTATGACGATAATAAAATAGTAACAGTAAGAAAAATCAGAATTAAAATTTAGTAGGTGATGATGATGATAGTAATAAAAATAACAATATCAAAATCAAGCAATAATTTAGAGGTGGGAAAGAAACATATACGCATTTACAAGAATAAAATATATCTTGTAGCATATAGACCCGTTGCTAGGCAACGAAAGCAAATAAACAATTAGACAACAGCCGTTACTAGGCAACGATCTGTGCTGTCCGTGCCGAGATGTTATAAGCAGGACAGTTAGGGAGTAGTTGAATTAGTGAATTGAAGAGGAGTTGGTTCCTCAGTTAGTCGAGATTTGCTGTAGCTGAGGTTGGGGACAGTTCGGGGACCCAGAGGAAGGGGAACGTACACTGTTGAAGTCTCTACAGGCCAACGGCGAGTGAAGACGTGACTGTGGGCACTAGCGTGTGTGTAATAGTGAAATGTAAAGTACAGTCACGCGCTGTATCACAGAATCCAATAAATCCATCATTGATCCTAACCCGGTCTATAGTCACACTCCATACATAATATGGCAATATTATAATGCGTAATGTGAAAGTAGTGATAATAATTAAGCCCATCTAATTAAGTGCTTCACAACAACTGACGAATTACAGGCAAGCACTGGAGAAAAAAACACATTAAAATTGAAGGAGTGAACAAAGAAAAACTAAAATGAAAGGAAATACTCAAAGCACGTAGTAACTAAGAACTACATAACACAGAGCCTTAAATATTGTTAATAATTTTATGTAGAATGTTGTAACGTATGAGAAAAAATGTCGAGATCTTTATCCATTACGTTGGCAGTGTAGATGCACCGAGCAGAGCAGTTTTTATCAGAGGAACAAACACTAGACTTTATGAATTTCATAACATAGCGAGAAGGAATACAAAGAGAAACATTTTCCTAGAGGGAAGTTCAGGACTTAAGGTCACGATAGATCTGAAGAAAAGTGCATCAAGGTAGTGTCTCCGTTTTACGTAAAGAATGTAGATTAATTTCTCTAAGGCAGAAATATGGCTGTACGGAATATGCAGGAGAGAGAACAATAGAAACAGACGACCGAAAACTCCTGCTGGATGCGCTCAAACTTGCTGGCATCAGTAGACCTGTTAGAATTCCATACTAACGAGACATATTAAAACTTGGACCCGACTAAAAATAATTAAACTGCATTTGCAGTAAAAGCACACTGAACAGAAAGGCAGTGGAGGGGGGAGCAACAGAACATGGTGAAGTTTCGTGTGTTCTGTATGCAGACAGCTTCGAGGAGAAAGGGTCAATATTTGGCGCCACTGAAGGCATTTATTAAAAACATAACACAATGGTGGAGACTCCTCTCCTGCAGTGCCCGCACATTTAAATTTTACAATAAATTATCATTTATTGTATTTCCTATGAGTGGTGTTAATCCAATCTGTAAAACTTTGGCTTTGTTTCAAAAGTGTCTTGTGGCCCTCTTCGTATGCATGTTGGTCTAACTTTGATATTTCGAGCAAAACCTTGCAAAAGATTTAATCTGTGCTCCTCTATGCTTTTTTTACTGCTAGTGGGGTGGAACTAAGTCCCTTGTAATGCGGCCACTTCTGGTCTACTCTACCAGCTCCAGATGATAGGTGAGGGTGATTGTGGAGTAATTGGTGGAATGAAGATTGGCAGGGGAAACCGAAGTACTCTGAGAAAACCTGCCCCAGCGCCACTTTGTCCACCACAAATGCCAGTTGACCAGACCTGGGATCCAACCCGGACCGCCGCGGTGGGAAGCCAGCGACTAACAGCTTGAGCTATGGTGCGGCCTCCTCTATGCTTACTCTCAAACGCATCCCTCTTTCGCCAATTCAACACCTTTCACAGTCGCCTGGAATTCATTCATTCATCAATGTTTCATTATAGAGACTGGCTACGGGATGGACGACCAAGTGGTCGGAGTCCCGATGGGGTCAAGAATTTTCAATTCTCCACGTCGTCCAGACCGATTCTGGGGCCCAACCAGCTTCCTATCCAGTGGGTATTGGTGGATTTTTCCACGTGGGTGAGGCGTGAAAGCTGACCGCTCACCTCCAACTAGTGCTGAGTTCAAGAAAATGTGGATCTGCACATCCACTCTCCAATACGCCTTCATGACCTAGTGCTTAATTAGTTAAGCAAAGAGACATCTTTACCTTCCTTATACTTATATATTTATTTATTCTTTATTTGTTTCGTTCTACCTTTCTTTATAATTTATTTTATGACGCAGTCAGTAGCCAAGGCTTCGTAGCGTCCAATTATAGTATAATTACTGAATAACGAATTGGAAAAATATGAAATGAAGCGGTCGTGCCAGAATTTATTGTACCACATCGGAATTTGTATGAGAGGTGGGGGATAACTAAGGGAAACCTCAGGAAACTTCGCACGGATCTCGGCGGAGTTTCGAATGACGCACCTCAAGAATATGAACCAGAAGAATTGCCACTTCAGTCCACTTGTCGAGTAACCTTCAAGAGACTTGATGCGAGTGTACTGCACATACAAACTCCACCGTTAGGAGTGTAGTCAAGAAAAAATGGGCTGGGCTATAGTCATAAATCCTACCGCCGCGATATTACACGGCAGACGCGCTTCTACACACATTTCTCTAAGTATTCCGGCGTGTCCTACTACGATACTTATATCTTCAAGGTATAATCCTGAAATTGGAGGCAGCATGCTTCTTCGAAACGTCGGTAAATACCTATAAGTGTATATGACGTCTATTCCAGAAACCACGTAATCTTCTTACAGGTCGTTCCACATTACGACTCTAAAGCTGTCCTGTACATCGTAGCTTAAGCCGATTTATCGTTAAATCGAGTATCAGTCTGCCTGGCCTTACTCTTTACAAACTGAAATACGAACCAGAACGTTGGGAAAAATTATCACTTTCACTGCCCTTCCTCCTACGACCCACTTTAGCATGCACAACTTCATTTATTTAACTAAAGCACAACAAATATCCAAATAAAGAGATAAATACAGATTTCAACGGAACAGAGACAGTTCACTCGGCATAGTGATGTGCTACAGACTGACGGCAGAGGTTCGATTCTCAGCAGGTGTAAGAAAACTCTCTCTTCTCCGCAGTATCCAGACCAGTTCTGGGGCAATTCAAGCCCCCTACCCATTGCATACCTGGGTCTGTTTACCCGGGATAAAGCGGCCGGGGCTTGAAGCTGATACCTCATCTTCTTCTTGAGCTGAGGGCAAGAATCGTGGAACTATATTTCCACTCCCGCTTATATCTGCAGGTCGCGGTGCTTAATTAATTAAGTAGAGGGGAAATTTTAGTGTTTTAAGGTTTACAGATATCAAGTACTCAAGTGTGGTTGAGCCGACGATTCGAAAAAGAAAGAAAGAATTACAGGACTGCAAAATCTGGAACGTCGGATGCCAAATTTCGGAAAAATATGGAACGAAATCCTTCGTCGATTTCGAGGTATATTGTTAATTTCAGCTTTGTCGAAATAATTCAAATAAAGGGCAGATCTATATACACAGCCATGAGAACCGGAAATTTCATACACTGTCGCAGTGTTTGATTGGAAGAAATGAAGAAAACCACGAAACCCTCATTCAGGATGGCCTATTTTCGGATAGTTTGATCATTTTAATGAGATCGAGGGTGTTTTGTGATTGAAAGGAACTGAATATTCAACTATCTGTTGAAAGTTGAATTTTGTGTCTTCACATACCGAACGACAGTAGCCTGATGGGCAAGTTAATTTCATCCTCAGTGTCAGGGATGTCCGAATTCACACCACTGATATGCATTGAACTTCAGGCATCTACCTAACAACGGATCGAAATACAAAAGCATATATTCAGGTAAAATATGTCATTGATTTTAATCCGAGTTGTCAGGTAAAGAGACGTGCTGAGCGTGTAATTTATCCGTCATAAAGTGTTTTGCTATCGAAGGTGTTTAAAATTTCGCCGGAAATATTTTGCTAGATTGTACAGAAATTGCATATGGACATGAATTTGTTCTACTTCCTTAATTTT